ACAGCACATCCGGCCGTTTACCTGATCCATCGCACCAGCTATCCACGAGGCGCCAACCGGCGGGCACCGAGGCACTAGACGACGAGTCAGCAATCATCGAGCACCTATGGCCAGCACGTGGACATGTCGTCTTGCTTAGATAGCACATTCCAGTTAGGACCTTACGAGGTAGTTAGGTTCAGTAGGCAATCTGGGAATTTCAGTCTTAATTCAATCGTGTAACAGTGAACTTCGCGAATAAATCTGTCCTCTAGGACTAAGTGAATCTTTTTTAAAAAGTGATTTATGTAAAACCATCCATAATTGTATATTGGATAATTTTATCCACTACCGCAATATACCTTCTTTCACTCTCTGTATTCCCGAAAGAACATTTTTCAGCCTTTTGCTGCACCCTGAGAGCAAATTTGCTTATGCTCACACTATCACCAGGTATCATAGACCAAAACAGAAATCTTTCGAAGCTATCATGGTGCTTCGGTGAGAAATATTGTGTCAATCTATCTTTCGTTAAAATGTACGGGTCCTTTGTTGGATCATCGTCATCACATCCAGGAATACCATAAAAAGCACTCTGGAGCTCCAGGCCTCCCATAGCAAGTAACTGCATTTTACGGCAGGGACCATCTGTAATACTCGCTGCTGCCATGACTGTTTCGAACCATCGAATCCATGATCCCCACGCATTTCGGATCTCGGATTGTGGCAGATGTTTGTATTTAAAATGTGGCAGATTGTATGATGCCGGACTAAAGAACGATAAATTCTGTTGAATGATCGACGCGTTAGCACCACCTTCACTCAGATCAGGTTCATTCCGAAGTTCATCCATGTTTGGTGGATCTGTCAATGATATCAATTCACAGCACATTTAAGTAAAAGCATTTGCTTTTTACGATTCAATAAACAAATCAATTTTTTTTGTATATATTTGTGTGCAATTTAATACCAGAATCTTCTCAGAATTATTTACTGACCATAGTTCTCCCAGTTCTCATACAAAATTCATTAGAATTTCCTTTATTATTCTCTATTGCTACATTTAAGAGCCATAACCTAACATTATCAATTGGCACTCACGTGATTGGCACTCACGTTCATTTTCCACGATAGGATGACTTGTACATACTCGTTCGCCTCATATAGAAACAATTTGTTCACACATCAACTCATTTTATATCTATTTTATTTTCATATTGTCACACACTAATATAAGCATATTAGTCGAAATTGAATAAACACACACAAATAAAATCTCACTTCAATTCCTTCTCACGTTCAAGGATTGAAGCTCATCCAAATAGCCGAAATAAAATCGACACACCAATAAATAAAAAAAAATAATGCCTGCTATCCGAATGGTAATCTAATTGGCATATAATTTCGAAATCTTTGTAACGTTTATTTGGGTAATGTGGTACATACCTCAGATTTGTAGACTACCTTTTTTTTTACTCATATAAACAGCCATACAACATACCATCTCTCCAGCACCGGTTCGAATTCGGCACAGAACAGCGTCATGAACTCCTATGTGCGGTTCTCACGCAAGCAACAAAAACCTCTCACTATTTTATCCAAGCTTATAAATATCTCACTACAACAAACATTCTCATCATTCGCACTATTCTCACTGGTTATTTTTTCCAATACTCTCACACTGATTCGTTGTTCTCTTCTCTCTTGTTCTTTCTGGTAATTCACTGTATGAACACTTATAGAATTAGATTATGTATATGTATATACACAGACATACAGCCAAACTCGACTGGCTCGCTTCCATATTTTTGTTTTTTTATTCAATACTAGCTGAGTGTGTCTGGTCTTGCTCGGGATTCAATATTAGTTTGAGTTTATGCGCCAATTTAAAAAAAAAGCATGCTATATTGTACGTAGCCCCCCCCCCCCCCTATTATCTAAGGGGCTACCCCCTATGATTATCTCTTTATACCCACACAGTCGCCCCCACATGCCTAATTTGGTACCATTTGCTTGATTAGTTCTCGAGTTATGCAGAAATTTCTGTTTCATTTGTATGGGAGCCCTCCCTTACAGAAGGGGGAGGGGTCTCGAACCATCATAAGAACCTTCCACGGCCCCAAAAACCCCTGTATACAAATTTTCACGCCAATCGGTTCAGTAGTTTTCGAGTCTATAAGGGTCAGACAGACAGACAGACAGACAGACAGACAGACAGAAATTAATTTTTATATATATAGAAGATGGCGGCTATAGCGTCACCTCGAGCGTCACTTCAATTTCGCACCAATTTGAGCAATTCTAATTGAACCGTACATTTATTTATAATTAAACCTTCACCTTACACGCACAACCCATTTCCTATTTTCCGAAATATTCTTCTACAGCATATTACTCCGTTTATCAAGCTTATTCAATAAGCCAAGGCTTAATTATGCAGAAATTTTACAACGCAGATTCTGGCATAGAAGCACACTTTTTTTTTTATTCTATTTTTGTTTTTCTTTGACCAACAATGGAGTTTCAAATCATTACCTCCCAGGCTTCAGATGTTCGAATGAAATACGGAAATCACTGGTAATATTTTTCTTCACGGAAACGATTTTTTTTTCTTTCACTGCACTACAGAGGATCCCATCCTCGTCGCCATCTTGTGGTAGCTAACTTCAGAGAACTGATAATATATATACAAAGTGAACCGTATACGACGCCGAGCTAAGTAGGACTACCCGCACTCTTGCTATAAAACAACGCGAACCCCTTCGCACTCCACACACACCTGAATATTAAAAGCCACTACCACAAAAGGGAAAAGCGATTTGAGTTTACTGTTAAAAGGAAGTGGTTGACCTTTTCGAAGATGTTCGATATCGCTTCCAAACACCTGATGCTGAGCAAAACGGGCCAACTGTAGATTGGCATCATGAACTTCCAATGGCTTCAGTTGTCCAGTAATCTTCTCAGTTCCTCGTAGCTTCCCTAGTGAGTTGACGATCTTGAATCTGTAGACCCACGCTAGCTCTCGTTGCGAATCCTTTAAAGATGTATTTCGTTTCAGAAGATATTCTTCAACTTTCCAGTCCGATGCAGGTTTGACAGCAGCCGTAACCGCTGAAATTGCTCTTCTTTGCTCCGTTGTGTCTTCCGTAATGTGTACCGCTTCTGTACTTTCCTTCCAGATGTCTTCGTTGTCGTACAGGAGGGACGGACCAGTCCACCACAAATTGTGGTCAACCAGCTCCGTTGGTAGCAAACGTCTAGATGCACAGTCAGCAGGATTTTCACTCGATGATATGTGATGCCACGAACTACGAGGCAGGAAATCTAATATCGCCGATGTCCGATTTGCCACAAAAATTTTCCATTTCTTGGGATACGACGTGAGCCATCCAAGCACAACGGTAGAATCCGTCCACGCGTGAAAGGTAACATCCAAGTGATCGAGTGATTCGATAATCTGCTTCATGAGCTCCACAAGAAGAACGGCAGCGTTTAATTCAAGCCGAGGAAGGGACACTTGCTGAATAGGAGCAACCTTGGTTTTGCTCGCAACCAGCGATATGCTGACATTGCCATCATCGTCTTTGGATCTGGCGTACACCACTGCTGCATAGGCTGCTTCAGACGCGTCAGCGAATCCGTGTAGCTGTACCGCTCCGTGGTGATTTACGATCCATCTTGGAATGCGAATGTCTTTGATTGATGCCAAACTTGCCTTGATGTTGTTCCACTCCTTGTGGATAACAGCTGGAAGTGGGTCATCCCATTGTAAGTCATGCAACCACAGTGTTTGGTACAGTATCTTGATACGCACAATTATCGGTGAGATCCAGCCCAAGGGATCGAAAAACCGTTGCCGCTTAATGTTTGGCTTGTCGATGTCGAAATTCAAACGGAATCCGAAAGAGTCTGTGGCTGAATACCAATGAATACCCAGTGCTTTTACTGCATCCGCTTCTGATTGTAAATTAACAGGGACTGAAGATTGAGCTTCGAGTTGAGCAGCGTTTGCATTCTCGTCCAGCAGCCGGGAATCATTTGCTGACCACTTCCGAAGATGAAAACCTGCTTCCGATGTAATTCGAACGATGTTCAATGGGCTTATCGGCCTCCGCTCTCCATACAGTACGCAAGTAATCAACATCGTCTCTGTGTATCCATATCTGTCGATACATTTTTTCCGCATCCGCAATAAAGTCGAAAGCGTAGCTACGAAAACGGGAAAGGACGACAGGCAAGTCCTCGGTGACCTTCGGTCCAGTCAACAGTTTCTCGTTCAAAGAAATTTAGGATGACGATTGACATGAGCCGTCAAACACGACTCGCAATTTGGTTGTGACACTGTCTTGCCGCATGACACCGTGATGTGGAAGGTAGAAACTTTTCTACGGCGCAACGTTAACCTCGTCGTCTGGAATCCTCTCCATGTGACCAAGGTTAAGGTACTCGGTCATGAACTCACCGTACATCTGTTTGAAGCCTGGATCTCGAACGAATCTCCTTTCCATCGCCTTCAACCGCTGGATTGCTGCTGGCATCGATTCACCTAATGCGGGTTTGCTTTCGTCGAACGGTAAACGCACTGTAAATCTACCAGTTTTATCTCGTCGATGCGTAGTATTAAATAAATCCACTGCTTGCTGCTCCTCCTGCGTCAAAGGTTTCGGTCTGTTGACCTCTTCAACTTCCCAAAATTTCCGAAGAACCTTGTCGATGTCCATGTCCATGTTGAGACTGATGATGGCCGTTTTGCAATTCACCTCGCTGGCGTCGAAAACTTCTTGGTTTGTTTCCGTCGATCTTGTTTTCCGTGCTGAGCACCAATGCTACCGACGCCAGAGAGGCAGCTCCCACACCTGGACCCTACCTATCGACCCATCAACTCATGAACCGGGGACCAACGGCTTTACTTCCCTTCCGAAGGAAGGCGTGATCAGAGATGTTATGCCTCAGAACATCCCGGCGGCGCCGACTGGGATTGAACCCAGGCCTGCTGGGGTGAGAAGTAATCACGCTTACCACTACACCACCGGCGCCGCTGCGTCGAAAACTTGACCGGCAACAATCCATCCAAAAGTTGAGTTGATCGCCACTGGAAGTCCCGATCCATCTTTTACCTTGCCATCTTCCAAAATAGCCAAGAAAACATCAGCTCCAAGAATAATATCGATACTGCCGGGCTTGTCAAAATGTGGGTCCGCTAGCTGCAATGTTTCCAAACATTTTAGCCGTTCAGGATCCAATCGCTGGTTTGGTACGATCCGCGGGAACTTGGACAGCACATATGCCTTGACGTTGACCACCGAATTGTAGCAAAAGCGAGAAGAAATTTCCAGGTCGACAACTCCTCTGGTGGTTTCCGATGAGCAGCTTGCGATTCCGGTGACAATCAGATTAGCGTTGCTTCGCTGCAATCCGAGATTGGTCACGCAATTCTCCGTGATAAGTGATGCTTGTGAACCGCTATCAATCATCACTCGTACTTCCTGGCACTGACCATTAATTCGCTTCACTCGTACTAATGCCGTTAGTAGTAGGCCGATGACAACCGAAGAACAGCTGTTTTTGACGTTAGTCGTGCAGGACACCGCTGCTGCAGAACTTTGCGGCTGCTGTGGTGAAGGCGAAGACGAAACTTGCTTTTCTGACGGCGGGGTCGATGTTAGCTCATTTTTGTCTGCCTTGCAGAGCATCGTATGATGACGTTGTTGACAGTGTGGTGTGCGGCATACCGACTTCGACGGACAGGATTTGGCGCAATGGTTTGGTCTCAGACAATTGAAACATAGTTTCGCTTGCTGCACTCGTTCGCGCATTTCGTTGACAGGAGATTCCTTGAAGACGGTGCACTCATAAATCCTGTGGCTTTCCGCGCAAACCGGACAAGACTGCTGTTGAACTGCATTGAATGCCTTGATTTCCTTTTTTGCGGTGAGTTGCTTGCGGTCATCTCTATGAGGTTCCTTTCTGCCGTACTCCGAGGGTTTTCCACCGAATGCTGCACAGGTCTCCAACGCTTCACACTTCCTTTTAAGAAACTTGAGAAGATCGACGAACGTTGAGTCGTCATTATCCACAATATGCTGTGCCCACTGAGACCGAAGACCATCATCAAGCTTCTTCAGTACGATGTGATTCAACCAAGGATCTCTCGTTTCGCAAGTTGGCCCCAGGGCACAGAGTTGACGAACTTTCGTAAGCTTGCAAGATTCAAAGGCCTTATTGCCGGTTGGTCGCAGAACTCCTGAACCAGAGCGGCAACTGTGAACTTTGGTTTGTCGAAGTGCTCAACAAGTGTATCCCACACCTGTTTATAGTTTGCATCGGTGATAGAGTAACAGCTAACTAGGCTTCTGACGTCACCTTCCAGATGGTACATCAGTAATTGTAGCTTTAGAGCACTAGTTAGGTTTTTATTGTCGACGCCGCTGACGAAAAGATCTTTAAAAGAAGCCCACTGCTTCCTGTCGCCTCTGAACACGGGCAAATTGTACGATGGCAACTGCGTGTCGATTGGCTCCAAATGCTGCTGACGAAGCTGCACAGCCAACCCTTCCATATTCGTTGTACTTGTCGCTTGGCTGGAAAGGAGGGTTCGTTGCGTTTCGAGCAGTACACGGACTGCCTCCTTCAGCTCGTTATTAGGATCTACCCCTGTAGAGTCACTGCCAGCACTTGATGGACCTTCCTTCACTTGCAGCAGCTTTGTAATCAGTCCTTTCGTTGTGTAGAAAAGTTGTTAGTAGTCCGAACGCACACTGAGCTCCAAAGAAAGTTCTACGTTCGGGACTGCTTCTTCGATTTCAGCTTGAATCCTGTCGAAAGATTCCTCCATCTCGGCTAATTTCCGAAGCCGATCGTGAACTTCGAACGCCTGTGTTTCATGTTCTGCCAGCTGCCTTGCACTCGCATGTACTCTCTTCAGCCTCTCGAAGGCCACGTTTCTTTTCCTGATCAGCTCCACCATTGTCGCTGATTCACGCCGATCCGGATCGCGAAGGACCAAATGTTAATCGTTCGAAATGATGCGGAAGTGGACAAGGCACGACTACCGAGAACTGACGCGAAGTTCTACCACGCGAAACCGGGACTTTTCCGAATTTCCGAAACGAAAATAAACAAAACTTGAAGAACAAAAATGTCTGCTCTCAAATTCACTTTTATTAGAATAATTAAGACGTAGTAGCAATCAAAAAACAAACGATATCGGGTAGACAGGCAAAGTTCCTGTTCTTGAAATCTCTCTCTCTCTCACACAGTAATTGTATTGCAGAAAAATCAGTCATGGATGAACTCAATTCCAAAACCATAAACAACCTCGTTTTTAATTTCGGGGTCCAAACCGTGTTTCATTGGGGGTGTCCAATACTCCTTTCCCGTTTGCCAAGCATCGAGCTTGCAATACAACGTGTTTATTTGTTTCAAACTCGTCCATTACCGTTTGCGTTGACCAAGATTTCGGCAAAATCGTCAGAATCCTTATTTGATCGTCTCTCGATGAACCTGGATCAGCAAATCTCTCCTTCAGTTGTCCGATCATCTCATTGTGTTCCGCAGATTTCAATTTTAGTTGCTCCAGGTCATCTTCTTCCGCTTGAAAACCGAAGATGCGTTTCTTAATGCCATTGGTAATGTCCATATACTTTCTCCGGGGATAGTTAACATTCTGGATTTTTTTTGTCGATATTGGCGATACGTTGATACCAGCTATGCCCTTGTTGAATAGCTCATTATTATGCGTCCTGGAAAATTGTTGCTCTCCACTATCCTGAGATGATGCTGTTGTTATTGACGTAGTTGATGGTATTTCTTCGAGGCCATGTCGAGATGTAGATGACTGCGGCTCCACGATGTCCATGACTGACGGTTGCACTTCTAGTTCCAGATTTTCAGCACATGGTTTGATTCTATTTAAATTCAAGCGACACGTATCACAGATTGATAGAGATGCATCCAAATTAAATTTCCACTCTAGGAACTTATGTTTTTCAATCAAATTTTTGGATAATTTACGAAGCTTTGACGAACACCGTTTATTAGGAAACGGCTTGCAACACTCGACCTTCTTGAATTCCATACGCTAATTATACTTGTTCACTCAAAAAGATTTTTTTAGTGATGTCTGTTTTCAAAAGGATGGTCATGCTTATACACAAACGTAGGTACCATTTGGATATTCAGGTATAAATATTGTTTTGGTATTGAAGCTACTCTAACAGAGAAGCTCTTTTTTCATGAAAAATACCATGGAAGACATTATAATGTACCTAAAATAATAAGATGGATAGGTACATCAATATTAACAACTTAAATAGGATGAAACTACGCTTGATAATGAAAATAAGTGCAACTTAACTTGTGTTGGTTTCTATATTTAAAATAATAGTGTTTTCATTTCCCCTGTAAATTCTAAACGGGTTGTCTGATCGTTCAATCGTCAAAAGACAAATTGAAGGTAAATATATGTGTATCTTGCTAAACTTATCAATGCTGATGGAGAATCACGATTAACTTATGAAAATGGCTTATTTTCTACAAAAAATTGATTTTGATGAAAGTAAATTTGAAATATCTCGAAAACGGTTATATTTAGGAAGTTTATCGATATGAGCACTATCGTTTGAAATGATTTTTATAATCATATTGTAACCGTTCACGAATTTTCGTTGAGGTTTTCGTAGTACTCAGTGGCTTAAGCGCCACTCTCGATTAGGAGAGACCACTGGTCATGTTCGAATTTTGCCCGATTTGTGAGACCTTATATCTAATGGCACAACTAGCTTTAATATCAAAAGTAAAACGCCAAGTCCCGTAGAACCGCAGATATTATCGGACGAAAGAATTACTCTGACTTACCCAGAACATGAACGAAACGGAAAGAGAAAGAAGGAATTCTTACTCATCTGAGCGGTAATCGAAGGAAAAACTGAACGTAAGATAGCGAGTGTCTTTTATTCCAAGGAAAAAACATTCTAAAGCATAAAAAACTAATCTTCAATTTTCATTAAACACTATTATTGAGTTCGTTTATTCGGGTTGGACTTCTCGATGAGTGTACGGAAAAAGAGCAAATCATGGCCATGAATAAAAACATGCTCTAACATACCTGCGCAGGTTTTTCGACGCGAAGAACGAAGGCTCGATGATGGCTGACGGTGGGGACTCGACGACTCGATTATGGCGACGGAAGGCGACCTTCCAGTTAGCGTGGCGATGGCGGCGAGGCGTGATGGCGCCGCACATGAGCTGCAGTATGGCGAGCAGCGATGAAGGTGACCCGTGCGCAGTATGGCCGAACTAGAGTTGCGGAGAGAGTGGCGGCTGGACGGAAGGCTTCCGATTTAATACGTCGAGAGCTGAGCATCAACCGTAGTCGTGCTTTCCCGGGAGATTCACCCCTCAGAGAAAAGAGGGCCAACTTACCGCCGCACGGCTTCGCGTACTAAGCTTCCGCTATGACCGCCCGGAATGGAATGAAACCCACCCTTCTCCTTGGATTGAATCCGGACCGTAGTACGCTCTTGGCTACGCACTCAAACGGTCCGCGCTCTCGGAAAGAATGGTCCACAAGGGGTTGTAGCGGAAAAATGACATCGTCGACTGTTGATTTGCGACCGTCGGAAAAGTTTCGCTCCGTGGAATAGCGAACTTCACTCTTCTCCGTTTGGCTACCTTTGAGGCCTTCGCTTGGCGCACGAGTCTGATGGTCCGTTTCACACGGACGATGCCACTTAACAGGACCCCTTGTCCGGCCTTGCGATAGCCGAACTGAAGATAAAAGCTAGCCCGTACAAAAAAAGCACAAAGCGCTGGAAATTCAACGCGAACTCACATTAATTAAATAATTACAATAGACTAAAATCAATTATTACCTTTTTTGTACAGAATTCACTGAAACAAAACGAACAGACTACGCGGAATTTAAAACTACCTTAGCTACACTGTACAAAGAAAGAAAACGTCTTAGTAAAACTTCTGAAAATAAAACTCACTCACTAAAGTTTAACTACCTTTTAATGCAATTCTAAATGCACAAACGACTTTTAACGAGAACTTAATTCGCGCACTTCAGGGTCCACCCCACCGTTTTTGGCCCTTCATACAGCGATATTGTGAATTCAGATCGGTAGCTCAAATTGATCTTGCTATTAAGTGGAGCTGCATACAAGACAAGATCTTCGAAGGGATGGTGGCTACCTTACATACATACATACATACAACTTAATTCGCGCACTTCTGTTCACCAGCCGATTCGAAAGCGAAATGGACGAGTCAGAGTACCTTTCGCCGAGAAGAAAGTTCCTAACGACATTCTTCTTTAGAAATTAAGGATGCCGATTCTTTTATTCAAAATTTGCGCCAAACTAATCGAATGGCGAAGTATTTCATGGCGCCTTCCGAAAGCATGTGCAATAAAAGCTACTATCTATAAAGATGAGCTTTTTATAGCAAAAGGTTTATCCAGGACACCTAACCATAAATAACGCGTAGCTTCGATATGAAACGCACGAAATATTTCACTACTGAATGAAAATCTAAATGAAAATTTAAATAATGAAATGAATTTTATTTTAAATTTAGTTGAACTTAATCGATAAAATATTTACAGGAAAAAAAAGAAGAAAAACGCACAGCGTTACAATATACTAACATCAAACTGAACATTTCGCCGTAAATAATGAAATTTTCAAAAATGCCTCAAAAGTTGCACTTAGAAAAACTTTTTTATTGAAAGTTTGTCCATCCTAGAATTGTTTTCAAAACTTCTGCTCTCTATTGAAGTTTTTATAAAAAAAATATAAAAAAAAAATCAAAAATACATTTTTTTGTTTTTTTGAATTTTGAGGTTTATTTTTAATTTTTTTTTGTAAAAAAACGAAAAAAAAAATTCCATGTGTATTTTTTTTATAAAGCCTTATTAGTTTACTACAACTACTTCTTAGTAAATTTTTTCTACAACCAACTGTTTTCGAACTACATTTTTTTAAAGTATGTGTGCAAAAACACATAGGCCCTTTCAAAAATTACCCTTGAGTCAAAAGGGTCTCCTCTCCTGCGGAAAATACTTGGTCTATCATACTGAAAATATGGGCAAAGTATCATCCAAATCGAAGATGGTCGAGCACGATTTCAGGTTTTTTCAGCTCATTCTGGATGGAATCCCTCTCTAGATAAATTTTGGAAAAACTGAGTATGCAAAAGTGCTTATTTAGTCAAGGTCTACACATGTTTTCGAATTAAGTTTAGTGTTATTCATCCCATCTATTGTTTCATTGTTGCTTCCAATCAGCAATTACCAATAGCTCAATTCTTGTATTTATTACATTATTCTAGACAGTCCATCAAAGGATGTAAACAATCCCGGGCGGGCCATAAAAAATATATCACCTTTCATAAGTAAGCATTCAAATATCAGGTTGTGCTTCATTACTCTGAATGAGATTCTGCCTTCTTTTGATAACAGCTGGGTCTTTTCACATTCGGGGTAATGTAGCACAATCCATAAATCATAGAATGTTGATCGAAAATTTGTCTAAAATACGTTTAATCCATTTGCATTCTATAAATAAATGTTGCTAGATTTCTTCGGTAATCACTTTGAAAGAAATCTAGCGATGATTGTTTGTTTGTTTACATCTCTCATTCGATGTAGCATTGATGACATCATGAAATTAAATGAGAATTTTTAATGAAAAAGTTGCATATGTTACATACTTTTTATTTAATCACAAACACATTTTTAAATGCACTCTACAGGGGTGGTATGAGCACCTTAGTAAACAACCGTTATAACGAGGATTTATGTATGGTCAGCAATGAACAATTTTTAAACAAAGCAGTTTCATCACAAAGATGCTGTCATGTTTAAAGGGAAGAATGCAAAATCGAAGAATTTAAGTAGAAACTGTTTGAAATATGAGGGGTGCTCATATTTTCCCAAATGGACTTAGGTAATATTTTGTTATGTTTATTAAAAACTAGAAAAACATCGTGTAAATAAATATATACATTTATGTAGCTGCTGACGGAATATTACCGATAAGTCATAAGAAACTACACTTGCAGACACTTGTGATATTTTGAGCTAGTCTAACACTTTTCGAATATTCACACTGTAGAAAAATAAATGTTCAGACTAAAATTAAATTGATTATTCAAGTAGGCTTCAAGCATTAAGCCTGCAGAAGATTTTTGTAAAATATGTTCAAAAAGTTGACCTTATGGCGAAATTGCCCACTTTCCCCTAAATTAATAAAAATAATTCCTGGAAGTAAAACTTTTCATATTTTGTTTTTCTCATTGCATTCGGATATAGTGAACGAAAATAATTACGGAAAAATATTTGCAATATATTTTTCCAACGGAAGAGTCCAGCAGAAGTCCTCCATTATTAGCTTTCAGTGAGTATCGATCATATATATAGGTTATAGGTACCATAGTATATACAGGAGCGTAATAAAATATTTCACTAACATTTATAATACATGCAGTCATTAGCAAGCCTTTTGAAAGTGTACTATAATAATCTTAACTATTTATCATCAATACTAGGAGTTTGTCCATCGTCCGAATTAGATCTAAAAGAACTCAATGAAGGTCTTACGTTTTCTAACTGAGAGTAAATAATTTCGTGACGTTGGATCTTTATAGGTTGCACGTGAGTTTCTGATTCTTTGGTTTCGTCGATGGGGTTCAGCATCGGAGAACATGGCGTATTTACGTAATCATTAGAAGAATCTTGGAAAACTGGTATATTTGAAGGAAAGATAGTGTAGTGTCCATCGGTATTAGAAGATGGGACACATGGACGATCTTTTTCATCAATCGGAGTAGGTGTTCCCGAAGGAGTGATGACTGGTCGCGGAGCCGGAGGAATCATATAGTTATCCATCAAACTGCTTCGGTTGAATTTTCGCTCATCAGAATCCGAATGTGTCCCACTATCCCCAACACTGGCACCACTTAGGGTACTCATGCGACCTGATGATCCGCTAGAAATGCTCTGGAGACTGGTTGAACTGATTGGTCGGTGAGAATTTGGTGAAGGTGAGAGCATTGAGAATTTGATATCATCACAAACATCTGACGGGGTGGTAGCACAAGGATTGTTTTTTTTCGATGGAATATTCTTATTTTTCGTAAACATTTTCTTCATTCTCTCGAATGGGGTCGGTCTCTTTAGCTTTTCTTTCATCTGCTGCTGGATTCGTTCATACTCTTCTCGCATTTTCTGCAGCTGTTCCTGCTTATCCTTGAAGCTTTTCTGCACATCGTTACGTGATTTCCACGAGTCGACCAGTTGCTCCACTTCCTGAATTGTAAAAACGTTATTCTTAAAATCTGTTATTATTTCCAGCAGCTCATCATCCACAGACTTCTTCGACGTATTGCTTTCCTGTCTCTTCAAGGTATTACCCTTCGGTTTGGACTCATGTTCCTGGTCTTTTCTTTTGAAACTCAATCGAAGGTGTGAGATCTCTCTGCCAGCCTCTTGATTTACATTGATTTGCTTATTACTAGGAGTATGTTGATAATCACTGCCGAAATCAAAATTACAATATTCGTGTATGGGGATGTTGGATGGTTGAACCAGATAATCGCTTTCAGATTCAGCGATTTTCACTGGCAGATTAGAAGGATGTGTCATATAATCAAAGTCATTATTGCAAAATACATTACAATTTTCCAACAAATTGGAACACTCTTGGCTAAAAGCGTCACTTTTGTTGACATCACTGGATTCAAAGTATTCGGGCTCCGTTATTCGCAGCTCGTTGAACAGTATACCATGCTCCCGCTCGACACTTTCGTCATGGCTGTTAAGATTATTCAATATCTCCTTATCCTTCTCTGCCTGTTTTTGTGAATCGATTTCAAAGTCCACTTCATCATGGCCACATGCCAAGGCATCTACATTCAAATAATTCAAATTCGAAACCGAATTCATGGTTTCGCACTGACTAGATTCAATATCACTGCCACTGCCATTCATTTCCATGTAACCTTCGCTTTGGTGATGACGCGGTACTCTACCCGCATGCGGTGATGATTTGACCATCATCGGTGACCTCTCTTTTGTATTATGCCCTGACACAGACGCCGATGATTTGGGCTCAATGACTACCTTATGGGGGGAGGCTTCACTGATTCCTTTGAAATAATGGTACATGGTAGTGAACTCATGCATTTGCTGAAAAAGAAGTAAGGGAGCGATTAGTTGCCTATAATTACCTACCTATACTAAAGTGTGGTAAATAATTTTCACAGTCGGGATGACAGAAAATACAACAAAATCGAAATTAAAAGATAACGCCATAAATTATTGAAAAAAGGTCCGATAATAACTGAAAATAAGCATGTGTTTTCACCATTTAAGACTACTGAGCAAAAGCCACAGAGCATACGATCAAATATTTAAAAGAAAAATAATTCTTCTGGTCGCATCAAAATCGGAGAATATATGACAGCATTTTTGGTTGACACTAAAACTGGACTGCTTCAAAAATACAAAAAGTGTGATAAAAGTGCACGTTTACGTCAAATCGTTTTCTTGCTTCATAAGGATTAAGGAATAAGTGCAACGACGACAACAAAACGATTTGATGTAAACGTGCACTTTTAACACTTTTTAACCGCGTTTATTTTTCCAGAAGCTCAAAACGGAAAAAGTCACTGAAAAATCTTGTTTTCTTTTAAATTTTCTCAAAAGACCCCGCTTCGATTTACATTTTGTGAATAATGTTGAAATTGTCCTCAAATCTGGTTCAAAGTGTTAGATAATAAATTGCTTAAAAGCATTTTTTAATTTATTTTATGTTTTTACCTAATTTTACTAAACATATGTAAATTTATATATAGGGGAAATGATATGACTCCAATGTTAGCCTATGGATCTATGGCTAAAAATCTGATATTTATCAATTTTATCTAGATGAACGCGTCATTGATATCAACTGATATCAAAAATCATGCCATGAAAACAAGTATACAGAAATGTCTAGTAAGTCCAATTCTTTACACCCAATAACTGTAATTTGTAATCTGAGAGGGCACTACCAACCACTAGTCGAGTTTGCGTGAAATTTGTCTTGGGTATATTGGACAACATCAACTTGATTTTCATCGGCTGAGTCTAAAACAGAACGGGTGATTCTGATAGTCTCCGTGCCTGAGGATGATTTTTTTTTGTTATCTAATATGCAATCGTGATAAATACATTTTGTAGCTGGGCATCATGACTAACATTCGAAAAAGATCTAAAATAATGGTAATATATCCAGCTTTCCACGCTCGACGATGGCGGCCTGCACTGGTTTTGAAATGCATCGTTTACAAACTGGAACTCGAGGTTTGACTTTTCACTCCTCTCTTTCCCTCTCCAAGGAACAGAGGAAAATGAAAAAAAAAATGTGTCAAAGCGTGGAAAAGTGGATCCGAAAACAAACGTTGCAGAAATCGTCGCCATAAGAATTTCCAATCTGAAGTGATGTCTATGAGAAAACTATTTTTGAAATTTGTATTTACCACCTAGGTCAATTTGAACTTAATAAAAATATTAGAAAATGGTTAGAATCCGAGATACAACATTTTGAAAAAAGTGTCGCGTTCATTTTCAGTGTGGTTCTCGCAGAGATAATTTATGTAGTAATAAAACTTACCGAAAAATTCTTGAAACTGTTTGCCAGTTTGAAATGACCTCCTATCTCCGCCAGGTCAGAAGGAGTACGGCCAGAAATGTTCCTCATTTCACAGGCAACATCTCCTCCAGGACAGTCCATCAGTTGAAGGCATAATCTCTCGAGTCCCCAATAGGCGGCAAAGTGTAGTAGAGTCGGATATTCTTCTGGATCTAATAAATCGCAGTAATTATTGGTAATTTTGTTAATGCAAAATTACAAAAATAGAAATACTAACTTGCTTCTCGGTGTGACTTCGGGTGATCAACAGTGTCAACGGAATTCAGTAGATGAAAGTTGGGCGGTATATTCCGTTGAAAAGATTGCAACAGGTATGTGTCCAACTTATCCCGATCCGAAATGGCGATGCCAATCGACTGACAGAGAAACTCCATCGGTGCGTCATGTGCTTTCAATATCTGTTCGAGCTCACGTAAACGACTCTCACATTTGAGAGGCCGACTACCAAGATCAACGTTGTTCCTTTCCAGTCGAATGCCAATCATCATTGAAATTTCCATGCATGACTCTAAAAGTAGAAAATAGTAATGGTTAATATGCTTGGTGAGATGAATTCCCAAACAAAATATGATAACACTGTACTGCGCGAATTTCAATTACTTTCTTATGGTCTTCTGATTTAAAGTCCACAGTAAAATGTAAAAATCTTCATACAATTTGTAGGGTAATGTCTTTTCGTTGGACCCATCCAAACATAAATCATGGTTGGACTCATTTTAACTAGTGCTAATTTAGTCCATATGTTCTAAGAAACTTCCTCTAAAAGCTCATTACTATAAAAAAAATACAATTTTTCAAATAATATCGGTTTTATTATGTTTTTAAAAACAGTCCCACTTTTATCTCATTTTCTCATCAACTTGGTTCCACAATATGAATGTTTTGTTACATGTTCAAAAGTTTTCTGCAGTATAATAATACTTAAAGTGGTAAACTTCATGTTAGCAGATTATTAATGCATTAATTCATATTGATTCATATTTGTGTCATGGTTGAACCTACGCTGTATCATGGTTGGACCTAGTTGTTTCCTCCATTGTCCGTCAGCTGTGCTTACAATTTCCTTCGCACGCAGCAGTTTTGAATCGATGTTATCTCGTCGCGGCTATTAGCACAGAACAAACTTAAAAAAAAGATTTTCTATTTACTTTCCTAGACACAACTTTCTTAAACATAGGGCATAGAGGAAATAGATAAATTCTCATGTGATTTGAGGCATTGCATGATGAATTTTGATCCAAGTCTGAAAGTGGCCACTTCCCTGGGGGTTTCAAAACATAGCCAGGTGTAGCCAACGGCCCTGAGCCTTCAAATAACTAGCGTTGAACTATGTTTTGAATTCTAATGTGATTTGAGGTGTCACATGATGAGTTTTATTCGTTTGAGAGCAGAACTAGCCTCATGCCCCATATAAACCAGAGCATGTTCTGGCCATGTTTCCGGAACTGGTTAACATACACACACACATACATACACATACACGCGGTTACTTGCGGGCTTCCCAAGCGTACACATGCACTTACACTTTATATAATAGGTCCAACCATGATGCATTTTTACATACGGCCTCCCAGTGTGGCAGCAAGGCACGCTATTCCAAATACGGGGAGAAGCATGAGGATGGCGCCTGTGCATTGCACCAAAATGCGTGTACTGCAAAGAAACTCCTCCTCATGGTCCCCCCTTCGTGTCCGATGTACAAACAACGCGGGGAGAAACTACACACTTAGAAATACCTAATTTTACACGTGACGGAATCCATCTTTGACATAATGGATGAGACGTAAACAAAAATGTCATGTAAAATTAAGTGCTCCGAGACTGAAAAGTTCATTACTCGACGAAAAGTACATTTGATTTAGCTGAATTTCGCGTCTATTATGACTCAATTTTATGTCATAATTGACGCTCGTATATGTCAGTCTCAGAGCACCTAAATTTACATGAATTTTTCTAAGTGTGTACAACGCTCACTTAAGGAACGTTCCAGACAGTCTTTTGCAAAAAAGCCATCGACCAACGACAAAAATCCCTTTTCTCTTTTGTCAGATGACGAGATTGACTCTGACTTGGCTGAGGAGGGAACTTCTTTCCGTTTTCTGGAAGGTTCTGCATGGAAACGAAAACGCATCCGTTCGCGGAAAGTTGCAAATCAAGAACCCCAAATCAGCTTGCCCAAATCAAGGAGTGGCGGAAAAAAGGAGACTTCTACTCCTCCTGGATTCCGCAGAACTGACTATACCCAGGATTTTCCACCTCTCCCGGGAACTTCCAAAACCCCTGATGTCTCAGTTTTAAGAACACAAGTCCCTTCTTCAACTGGGTTGTTCTCATTTGATAACATTGTGGACGGTATCGATATTTCTGATCCTCTGAAAAGCATTGTCCTGGCAATGCTTCCTACTGTGAAGACACTCTTGAAGCAATTGACATTGAAGTGGTTCCTCCTCCTTACTATTACTATTACTATTACTATTACTATTACTATTACCATTACCATTACTATTACTATTACTATTACTATTACTATTACTATTACTATTACTATTACTATTACTATTACTATTACTATTACTATTACTATTACTATTACTATTACTATTACTATTACTATTACTATTACTATTACTATTACTATTACTATTACTATAACTATAACTATAACTATTACTATTACTATTACTACTATTACTATTACTATTACTATTACTATTACTATTACTATTACTATTACTATTACTATTACTATTACTATTACTATTACTATTACTATTACTATTACTATTACTATATTACTATTACTATTACTATTACTATTACTATTACTATTACTATTACTATTACTATTACTATTACTATTACTATTACTATTACTATTACCGGACAAGCGAAACGGACAACGACATCGATCGACTTGAAGGGAGGGAAAGTGTAGTACCTCCTTCACTCTCACAGGAGAGAGCGCGGCAGGCTGGAGGATCCATCCGGGACGTCTTACCCCAACCCGTTGATGGAGAATCCCCCTCTGCGGTCGATTATGAAACATTAGAGCAACATACCACTTACCTACCTACCATAATACCACCTCGATATCACTCGCTTACATCCAATACACCCATATGGCCACTTTCCAACGAAAGCAGCCGTCGGCATATAGTGCCAAGCGAAAATCCACCGTCAGCCAACACTAGCTACCACAACATTGTGAGTGCCACCGGTAACCGGTTCGGAAATTTTTCCGCCGGTGAAGTTCGTCGTCAGACAGCATTCCGAAATCGGTGTGGGGAGGGAGAGCGTGAAGTAACCTCCCCCCTTCCCAGGAGGGAAGTGGATGTCCAGGGGGACGAGAGTGGGACCAGTCACGAGTGTCTTACACCCTCTGTTTCCTCCTGGAATCCAGCCGATATGTCAAGTCCAACGCGTAGACCGTCAGCATCATCTTCGTCATCAGCAACAGTCAGCAGTAGTCATCCCACGAAATGTATTGCCCTCCAGTGGAACATACGTGGTCTACGTGCCAACATCAGCGAGCTCAAATTGCTCATCAGCCAGCATGAAACGTCCGTTATAGCGCTGCAAGAGACGAAAGTGGATAATCGTGTGGTCGCGCCAGACTTTGCCGGCAAGAACTACACCCTGCTTCTTCAAACCGGTAGTCGTCAGTACTGGCAGCAAGGAGTGGGCCTTGCCATCCGTGAAGGGGTTCCATTCGAGCGCATCGATATCGATTATGATATACAAGCCATTGCAGTTCGCATCCATCTTCCGACGCCAATGACGGTAGTGTCAATCTACATATCTCCGAAATCCCAGCAACAGTGCCAAACAGAACTAAATGATTTCTTGGAGCGTCTGCCCGTGCCAATGTTGGTACTTGGCGACTTCAATGCGCACCATCCCGCATGGGGTTCTACGGCATCGAATGCGCTTGGCCGCTACATCGCTGAAAAGACACTGACGGAACATCTGATAATCCTGAATGACGGATCACACACGCGGGTGGATCCAGCAAACGGTTTATTTTCTGCCATAGATCTTTCGATCTGTTCGGAGGTGCTAGCTCCCAGATTTATCTGGCGAACACTTCCGGATACCCACAGCAGCGACCACTTTCCAATCACCGTCTCTTCACCTGAATTCTCACAGATCGCAACGAAGCGAAGAAGATGGCTCTACGACCAAGCAGATTGGACATTCTTCGAACGACTGACTTCCAGCAGCATCAAACCGGATGACGAGATTGGCGTTAATGAGTTCGTAGATCGGATATTATCAGCAGCAACCGCTAGCATTCCTCGAACATCAGGACGAGTTGGTTCCAAATCGGTACCGTGGTGGTGCCCGGAAGTGAAAACGACGATTAAGCGGCGTCGAAAACTTCTGAGAGCACTGAAGCGCAGCAGAACAGCAGGATCGGACACAGCGGATGTTTTGAAGCAATTCCAGGAAGCGAAGGCAGCGGCTAAGAAGGCAGTGAAGGAAGCTAAGGAACATTCGTGGGAGGACTTTGTCGGAAAAATATCACCTAGCAGCACAACGGCAGAAATGTGACGGACGATGAACACCCTGAGAGGCAAACGACAATACAGCAAGGCGGTTATCAAGCGACCCGATGGCTACACGGAGAAGGTGGAAGAAATAGCAGAAGAACTGGTCGAGCACTACTGTGAGAGATCAGCGACCTCAAGCTATCCCCAACTGTTTCAAACAGCGAAGGAAAGAGCGGAACGGGATCGCGTGGATTTTCTTCCGGACAACGACGAGATATATAACGCGGACTTCACCCTGGATGAGCTTCTGTGGGCACTCGACAAAGGACGTAGTGTCTCTACAGGTCCTGACTCGGTAGGGTATCCGATGATCCGACGTCTGCCTGTATCCGTCAAAATTGCACTGTTGCAGCTTCTAAACAGAATCTGGTGTAGTGGCGTTTACCCTATCAGCTGGCGAACCGGAATAATAGTGCCGATTCCGAAGCCAAACTGTTCTGAATCTGGACCTGCTGCTTTCCGACCTATCACTTTGACCAACTGCATCGCAAAGGTGTTCGAACGTATCGTGAACCGCAGATTGACGACTAAGTTGGAGTCGAATGGACGACTGGATAAGAGGCAGCACGCCTTTAGAGCTGGGAGAGGCGTCGATACATACTTGGCGGAGTTGGATAGGTCATTGCCAAATCGGGACGAACACTGCTTGATTGCATCACTTGATCTGTCGAAAGCGTACGACACCAACGTCGCCGTACCAAGGATTGATTCCATCAATAACATGAACCAAGTCTTTCGTCAGCTATGGGAAGCACGTTGGGCACAATGGACAGATGTGAAGCTGAAGGAGGTCAAAAGGGAAACGAAGAAGTGGATCGATCAGTACAGCTCTGCCGATCAACGCATACTCACTCGTCTGCGCATTGGTCATACTAGGGTTACGCATGAATTTCTGCTGAAGAAAACAGCTCCGCCAGCATGTGAATGCTGTGGAACCGTTGTTGACGTTCGTCACATT